GTAAGCTCAAAATGGTTCTTCACAGATTCATCATTGCAGACCAGTTGAGAGAGAGTCGTCTTCCCTATACCAGGCATCCCAAAGATAGGAATCACTGTGATGCTATGGTCAGTCACCTCAGCCATTGGCAGCAACATATTTTTTATCTTTTGCTTATCACTCTCACGACCAAGAACCAGAGAAGGAGTTAGCGAGGTGGTCTGATAACTCTGCTGCCTCTGGGGTGCACTGCGCTGAGTCAATTCAGATAAGGGGCATCTCCTTGCAATGGAATCTAGTCTGTGTTCTATGTCTTTTACCCTGAGGCATATTTCTCGCTTGAACAGTTCACGCTTAGGATTTATGGGGGCCAAGAAATTGCGTACCGATGCATATTTGATCAGCTGACAGCGTTGGCGTTCGGTTGCCACCTCGTCCAAGATATCATTTGCATCATATGCAGCCTGGCTGAGCTCATTCAGCAAATGCTTCACCGCATTCCTAATCTGTTGCCTCTCCTGTGCATCATTCAGTACAGCTTGAATCATGGCAACAGAGCTCTGCAGCTTTTTTAGCTCAGCGTCAAGGCCGTAGACTGTTTGCAGTTCCTCCCACAGTTGAACCAAACTGGAAGCCAACAGTGGTATGACAGCCGAGAGAAGCTCCATCGAGGAATGTTTGTGAGAAGATTTTAGAAAAGAAAAAGATACAAGAGAATTGAGAAAAAAGATTTAGGGGTGTTTGTTGAATTCTGGACTTGAATAGGAGATGGAAGCTGAGCAATCACACACTGAAGTTGTGGTTAGAACTGCTTTGCTATTAAGATGGAGTTTTGGAAGCTAACATGGTTGACTCAGTCTACCCTGGAATCTTTATCATATAAGGGAGTGTTCAGAGTGTCAAATTTGTTAAGTTCAAATTATTGATTAAAATACTTCAATTAAAATTTTAATAGTACACCCATTAAATCCTTGTAAGTCTATCTTATTCTTGTTCATTTCTAACATGGGACTAATCGGGATGTTACAAGCTCCCTCACTTATGGTTGAGATGATCATCGTTTTCTTCGAGTAAAGTTTGCAAGTTTTCCAAGATAAAAAGAAACAAAAAAATTAAGATGGATAGATTTTTAGAATGCATGGACACGATAAAAGACGAATGGTGGCAACAGATTCTGATCACAACCTAAGATTCAGAGATGATGCAACCTTGCTGTTGCCATAGCAGATGAGCAACTTGCAATCGTCAGTCTTCCTTGGTCTTTCTATTGAAAAGTATAAAGAAGCAACTTGGCTCTGTTAGCTGGAATTTAAAGTCTTCCTTCGTCTTGTTCTCCTCAGTTGCATTATCATATCAATTTCCAGGAGAGTTTCCCAGCAACTGCTGATCGCTGTCTGTTTGGTGCCCACAAATCTTGTCTTTCTCTTATTCGTATTAATTATGCTTGTCCGATAGCTACAAATATCTCCTATTTAAAACTCTTGACATTCAAGAAGATGCTCGAGTCAATTTTTTTAGATGAAAGCTATTCCAACTTGGGGACTCATCAAGATCAGGCATCATAGTTGACTGACTTGAGGGTAGACAACAATATGAAGTGAAGAACGAGTACATGATATTGACAGATAACCTAATAGTTGAAGATTTCTTGATCTACTATTTGAATGTCAGTTGAATAGTTCAGACTAATCCAAACAGGGCATGATAAGATTTTGAGTACTGCAAGCTGTCTACCGCAGATTTCTCATGATTAATCTTAAGATAATCTGCGTATTTTTATTATATGTAATCTAAGATAATTGTGTTGGTGTGAGATGATCCACTGTGATCATGTATACAATTTTCCTCACAATTTATGGAATCATGGTTGTGGTAATAATTGTTTTCAGATATATGAAAAAAGAATAAATCTCTTCCGTAGATGTTTTCTTTTTCAAACAAATTAAATTAAAATAAAATTTGAAGATGGGCGAAGATTCAACACCAAGAACGCTTCCCGTCTGTCATCACCTGCTGGTTGGTGTAGCAGTACAAGTCCGTCACTTAAATATTATATTTAATATAACATAGTTATTCCACCAAAATTTTAAATATCATGTATGGATCAAATATTTAAATCCTCAGTTTATGTCGTGCACGTTTGCATATGCCCAATTAACTCAGACTAATCACCAATATTAGTTTCAAGAAGGATACATGTGTGTGTGCAAAGAGTAGTGACTTATATTTAAATTTAACATTAAGAGTCAAATCATGTAGATTAACTATAATATTTATGAATTTTACATACACACATATATATATATATATGGTGAATTTATGAAAACACTCCTAACTTTGTAAATTTTCCACATAAGTACCTTTGACAATATGAAAAGATCATTTTGCATGTCTCTCTTGACCCTGTTGATATATATATATATATATATATATATATATATATAGCATTGATCATAAGAGAAGCCAAGATACTTGGCCATGGGGGCACATAGATGTGTTTTTATATTTTGAACGAGTTCAATCCAAGAGGCAATTCATCAACAAGAATATAATATAAATTATTCACAGATATCGTAATTTGGAAATGAATTGTACCAAATAATTAAGTCATAATATTACGTAGGTGGTAAGTATGAAGACTATGTTTTGGGTATAAGAATTAGGGGGGCATGCAAAGAAATTTTGGATAATTTATGCAGAAATGTCAGTGTAACATTGATTGTGTGACAATTGTGAGTTCAATGAAGTAAGGGCAAGCCAACATCATATTCCTACAAGGCATTGTTTGAGTCCCAAAATCTCTTATTATCATGACCTGCAGCTAATTTTGATTTGATAGGACACAAATATATAATTGCTCAGCTTGCAAAGAACTTAGGAGTCATAATGTTAACCAGAAATTACACAAACTTGGAGCAAGGTCTGAATCACTATGAAGGAACTGTTATTCTGAGTAAACTCTGAGTCTTATATATGACAGCAATTTTGATTGTCAATTTGGAACACCACATCTCTCTTTCACTAGCTAGAAGTGTGATTTTATCATTCATTCTGGTCATCATGCTTCTGTAAGTAGGATTGAGTGTTGGACTGGTAGTAGAATGATCACATCGTATATATGGACCATCTGCCATTGTGGTAGTGCTTCCTCGACCTGTTCTGTCAAATTTCTTGCCACTTTCTATGCACTATGTATATGAAAGTTATCATCATCAAAAGAATGATAAATGATTTTTGAATCATATTGAATGGTGTTGCAAACCCCGATTTGTCTCTCGATGACTTACAACTCATCACATGGATGTAACTGGTAATACAACCTTAAATTTAATAAACTAATAATGTTAATCAAAAGTAGTTTACTATTTGACAATTTAAAACAGAAGGTGTGGGATTTAAGGTTAAGAAACCAATAATGTCGAGCAAAATTAGATATATTAATTATATTGATCAAGTTGCATCAACTAATAATATTAGCCAAGATTGAACATACTAATATCATGAAAAAATTGCAAGGCCTTGAAATTGCTCAGAACAATGTCAGTCATTTTCAGCCTACATAATGATGTCAATCATCTGTAGTTGAGAGAAAGAGGGAGGAGAGTGATAGAAATGGGAGAAGATGCAGGTTGGTGGGCAAGAGACATTGACTTCTTGACATCTGTTGACCAGTTGATGCCAACTGACATCTTTTTTTGATCCATCCTTAGATATGACAAATGACAAGTGTTATGGCTAAAGTGTAAGTAATTATCATGGATCACTAACTTTATGCTTTGGCCGTATGAAATTTGTTTGAAGCAGTTGTTTTCTTTCACTACCGTAGGAGTATAGTTGACTCAACTAACCCTAAAACAAATTTATCGAGACGATCAAAGAGGTTATCGGAGAGATAATCGTTGGAGAGAAGCAGAGAAGATGAGATTGCCACTATGTGATGCCACGGCTCGATGCTCGGTGATGCCATCAATTAAGTCGGAGAAGAGAGGATTGGCTCGGTTGTCAGTGATATGATGCCATCAACAAAGATGATCATTCCTAACTAAAGAGGAGATAGAGATCATCACCGCTTGTTGACGTCGCTAATGAAGCTAATGTTGAAGAGGGGAGGATGTCATCATTGTTTATCACCAAAGAAAAGTATAGAAGTTTGCTGTCGTTGTTCATCAAGGGAAAAGAGTAGATAAGAGGAGTGTTGGTTGTTGTCGTCATGTTATATTCGTTCGATGTAACCCTTATGTAACCTTTTTTGTCATATATCATAAACTCCATCCGATCTACTTAATAGGATTCTATCTAAAGATTAAACTCAAATCGAGACCCAAATCAAACAGAATTAGCCTTAAAATTTTGAATCAAGCCACACGGTTCAATAAAATGATCAGATCAACTTGAGTTTAAGGGTATTATTGGTATTAAAAAATAATGCCGATAAAAACTAAATAGGGGGGGGGGGGGCGTCTTATAATAAAATTTCAATGGGCACTTTTAGGATAAATTGCCTACTACAGTTTGCAAAATCCACATGCTACATAGTGTACAATTCAGTGATTGACCATTTAATAATAACAGGAGAATGTAATTGCAGGAAACAAAAAACTGCTAAAGGGCATGAAGAATGTAGAGTTAAGGTGCAGCTTACCTTGATATTTTTAGTGCTTGTGTGAATTGAGGGTAGTGATGAACCAAGGAAGTTTGTAGTTCTCCATCTATCCACACCTGCAGATTGTGCTGAAGAGTGTACCAGCCTTGATCACCCATCCCAAGGCATTGTAGCCTGAGCTCCGGGCAGTTACTGATGCTCAAAAATTGAAGTTTGCTTGGAAAACCATCATTTGGCAAGCACAAGAGGCCAGGACAGTCTGAGATCTCAAGACGTGCAAGCGAGGCCATGTTTCTGAGGCCAACTGGTAAATACATGAGATGCCTGCAGTTTTCGATCTCCAAGTCCTCTAACTTTATTAGTTTTGGCAGTCCTTTGGGAAGAGTATGGAGCTCAGGGCAGTGCTTGATGGCCAAGTACAACAGGCCGGTCGGGAGCCAATCATCCGGTAATGATAACAATTGATTGCAGTGACTAATTTCCAATCGACGGATCAAAGCATGGGAACCTTGTATATTGAAAGGAAAGGTTCTCCGTTGCAGTCCACTGAGAGTCAGGGAGGGGAGCAAGGAAACAACAGACCAGGAACTCCAAATCCAGTCATCAGTAGTCTTCACTTCTAGTGATTTGAGTGCTGGGAATTCAGATAGGCCAGCAAAACTTCGGGATGCTTCTATCACCAACATCGTCAAAGCAGGAAATTTGTGCTTTAATTGGTCAAGAGCAAAACAGTCCTTGATAACAAGCTCACGAAGAGAAGGCAAAACACAGTCATCAGCACCACACCATTCTTCCAGTCCTGACATTGTTTCTAGATGTAGCTTCTCCAATGATGGAAAACTTTGCTTGTTCC